TTGTGAGAAACTGACAGGACAAAGAAAGTCAGTGCTCATGAGAAATCTAAGCAAGGTTTGGGCTTGAGTAGTAAGTCAGTAAAGGCTAATGCTTGTTTCTACAGACTGGTCAGCTCTGAGCTACTTAACTCTATCCATAAGGGGTTTCTCTCCCAGCTGGTATGGCTCAGTGTAAACTTATGAACCAGGAGGTTATGGTTAAATCCCAGTCAGGGCAGGTGCCCGGATTATGGGTTCGATCCCCAGTGGGAGTCAGCAGGAGGCAGCTGATCAATGATGTTTCTCTATCATTGATGTTTCTCTCTCCCTTCCTCTCTGAAATCAATAAAACATATTACAAACTAAATAAGGTGTGTCTTTCAGGTGCAGGGAGATTTATTTTCTGCATCTAAGGAGACAATGGTAAGTCAGGTGCCCTTCTGTTTCTCAAGTAACTAATTAACCGATATACCATTGTGTTAAGGTGACCAGACGTCCTGATTTTCAACAATTGTCCCGCAGCATTTTTAAAAAGTCCGGATTTTTCTTTAAAAAAATTGGGACTTTTTTTAAAAAGCCGTGGGACATGGGACAAATTGTTGAAAATCGGGCCGTCTGGTCACCTTACATTATGTGATATTTTGGGGTGGCCTGTCTTGGGCCTCCACACTGTCATTCCCACATACATGAGTCACCAAGCTATTCCACTTCAACAAAAATGGTACCAATATTCACCCAGTTGATCAAGTGAATTATTGAAAATCCTTGACACAACCTCCCTCTCCCTAAACCCCAACATAATCCAATTTCTCCCCAAACCCTTCAAAACAAAACCCAAGCTCATCCCTCCTTTCTATCTCTCTTGCCTTTCCCCGTTTTCCAACGCCCCAGCCCCCACATCTCTAACCTTGGACCACTGCAAAAGCTTCTAAAATGAGTCTTCTCAAAGGGTAAACAGCCAGGCTACCCCCCACGCCCCCTCGGCTGTGCCCTAGGATAAGACAGTGCCTGCACCTCCACCAAAACTCACACCTGGCTAAAAAAATAAAAAATAAAAATAAAAAATCAGTGCAAAGATGCAACCTTCATAACCAATGCCTCATTTTCTTTCTAAATATATATATATATATATAATAAATATAAATATATACTTATTTTATTTATAAATAAAATATATATATATATTATTGATTTTTCACAGAGAGGAAGACAGAGGGATAGAGAGCTAGAAACATTGATGAGAGAAAATCATCCATCAGCTGCCTCTTGCACGCCCCCTACTGAGGATGTGCCCACAACCAAGGTACATGCCCTGGACCAGAATGGAACCTGGGACCTTTCAGTCCGCAGGCCAAGGCTCTATCCACTGAGCCAAACCGGTTTCCGCCCAATGCCTCGTTTTCAATAGGTTCTGGTATGGATGTAGAACTCTACTGGGATAAGAGTTCTCTCAGAACACCACAAAAATGATCTGGTAGCACAATAAATACATTTGTCGTTACAATTGGGTGTATGGGATGTTTAGGTTGCTGATCTAAATAAACGTTACTAACTAAAACAATAGAAATAAAAATAAAAAAACCTCACATCTGGCGATGCCGCGAGATTCCCAGCCTCAGGCCCTCCCCAGCCCCCTCCCAACCCTCCTCCAAATCCCCTCCTTTATCCCTTCCCCCTCCCCGCCCAGCCCCCTCCCCAGGGTGGGGCTCCAGCGCTCGGATCCCCTTTCAGGAGGAAGGCCTCCCGCGGTCGCAGACGCGAGGTGGCTGCGGGGCCCAGGACGCGGTCGCAAAACGGTCGTAACGTGCTACGGCGTTTCTGCCCTCCTTTCCGCGATTGGGGGCGGGGCTACGTTTTACAAACCGGACGGTGTTTCTCAGCGTTTCCTCTTTCCAGCCGGCGCCGAGCTATGGGTGAGTGCTGCTTGTGTGAGGGCCGGGGCGGAGGGCGCGCGTTCAATCCGGCGCCATCCCGCCTCTCAGCCACCTTAGGAGGGTGGGCGCGCGGACCCTCGGCCACGGGCGGCCATGAGGAAGCTGGTGCTCAGGTTTGTGCCGCCGGCCGGGTCCAGCGCTGGGTTCCGTGCCAGAGCCCGGGCCGGGGCTGCCGGCCCCGTCAACATGGCTGCGGCGGGGGAGGGTGCGGGCGGCGCGGCACGCGGTGATGACGCCTTAGGACTGCTGCAGACCCCGATGCCCCGTGGGGAAGCCAACCTTGGAGAACTGAGCGTGCCCCCCGCCCCGCGCGCGGCCTCGGCCTGGCCGGGGCTGGCCCGCGGCCCAGGGTTCAAGCTTCCGCTCCCCGCACCCCCGCACAGGGATCTCCCGGGACAACTGGCACAAGCGCCGCAAGACCGGGGGCAAGAGGAAGCCCTACCACAAGAAGCGAAAATATGAGCTGGGACGCCCTGCTGCCAACACTAAGGTGCGTGCGGGGCCTCGCCGCCCCGGAGGTCGGCTCGGGCGGGTGTCCACGATCCCGCTCTGTGCGTGGCTGTTGAGCCCCGGGTGGGAGCGAGTGGCCTCTTCCTCCTTACCTGTTGGGTAAATATCCTGTTTCCCTGAAAATGAGATAATGTCTTACATTAATTTTTTCTCCCAAACTTGCGCTAGGTCTTATTTTCGGAGGATGTCTTATTTTCGGGGAAACACGGTACTGGTACTAAGGAGATTGCACCGAGGCGCACTGTTAGGATTAAAGGGGCCCGTACGTGCTGGTTAGAAACCTGGTGTTTCTGTCGCATGGACACGTGATTTATAGTGTTTGGGATCAAGTTTGGTTTTGTTTGTTTTTTTTCTTGGAGGCAACTAGAGTGATGAAAAAGGTAACCTTAGGCGTGGTGTGGCCGTCTTGGCCACCTTGTGCCACTTGCCAATGCTAGGACTCGTCATAGTTACACTGACTGTTTCCTCCGTGCGGCCAGGCTCCCTTTCCTCTCGCACCTGCTTTCCTTTATAACCTTGTCCCTGTCCTTGTGTTCGCTAGATCGGACCCCGCCGCATCCACACAGTCCGAGTGCGAGGAGGCAACAAGAAGTACCGCGCCCTGAGGCTGGACGTGGGCAACTTCTCCTGGGGCTCAGAGTGTGAGTGAGTGAGGCCGGGCAGGAGAGGGTGGGAACCCGGCGCCTACGGTCTTCTAGGAGCTTCAGGGAGTGCTTTTAGCAGGAAGTCCATGGCCTCCACCCAGATACTGAAGTTTCTTTTTAAAAAATTAAAAAATATGTGTGTTTATATATATATATTTTTTAATATATTCTATTGACTTTTTACAGAGAGTGATAGAGAGTTAGAAACATCGATGGGAGAGAATTATCGATCAGCTGCCTCTTGCACTACCCTTAACTGGGGATGTGCCCGCAACCCAGGTACATGCCCTTCACCAGAATCAAACTTGGGACCTTTCAGTCTGCAGGCTGTCCACTGAGCCAAACTGGTTAGGGCTGAAGTTTCTTCTTGAAAGACTCTAAGGCTGTGGTAATTAGAGCTGTCTCTCCAGCCTGTACTGGTAACTCCTGTGGGCTCAGGGAGGGTCTGGGTCTAGAGATTGTGTGGGGTTGTCAGCCGCCTCTGGAAGGATGGGCTTGTGGAGATGAGCTGATGCCTCGTGGCTGGGTGCTTCCCCTTAGGCCCTATTAGGCTGGGATCCCAGGGAGAGCAAGGCCAGTTGGCCTTTGGTTTACTCTGCTTGATTCTGGATTTCTTCTGTGAGCAGGTTGTACGCGCAAAACAAGGATTATTGATGTTGTGTACAATGCCTCGAACAACGAGCTGGTCCGCACCAAGACCCTGGTGAAGAACTGCATCGTGCTGGTGGACAGCACGCCGTACCGGCAGTGGTACGAGTCCCACTACGCACTGCCCCTGGGACGCAAGAAGGGGGCTAAGCTGGTGCGTATTTGGGGAGCCAGCCTCCCTGTTGGGTGGGGGGACGCCAACCCGATGGCAGCCTTCTTGTGATGAGATTCTGTCCAGTTCTGCTACTGAGTGGAAAGAGAAGAAAGCCTTCAGTGCTGAGGAAGGCAGAGGTTGGGATGTGCGGGGTTCAAGGGTGCCGTGTTAGAATTTGAGGACCCCCAGCTAACCATCTTTGTCTCCTTTACTAAGACTCCTGAAGAGGAAGAGATCTTGAACAAAAAACGATCGAAGAAAATTCAGAAGAAATACGATGAAAGGAAAAAGAATGCCAAAATCAGCAGTCTTCTTGAGGAGCAGTTCCAGCAGGGCAAGCTTCTCGGTAAGATGGCTGTTGCGTGGGGGTGGTGGGTCACAAGCTGTTTTATTTACCCTTGCCTCGGTCCTTTGGACCGCCAGCCATGTAGTCTAGAGGGTTCACAGGGCAGTTTAATAACAGCAGCATACAAATCACCCATTAGTGTGACGTTAAAATCGGACATGGGGGGCAGGAGTCCAGAGGCCTGGGTGAGCAGTATTCGGAGGAGTGAGTGCCCAGGCTGCGGGGGCTGTCTCAGTGATGAAAACTTTGTCCAGTTCTGCTACTGACTTTAAGTGACGATAAAGTGTATCTGAGGAGACAACAGGTTTCGCGCCTGCCCCCCCTCCACCCCCGTACCTAGGTCAATGTAGCTTTTAAGGGCACGTAGCTATGGGTAAGGGCACGCTGCTGTTTTGCTGAGGACCACGTATTCTCTTGGCAGCATGCATCGCTTCAAGACCAGGCCAGTGTGGCCGAGCAGATGGCTATGTGCTCGAGGGCAAGGAGCTGGAGTTCTATTTGAGGAAAATCAAGGCCCGGAAAGGCAAATAAACCCTCTTCCCTCCTGTGTTAGCTCATGTAATAAAGGTGTGTGTTCTAGGTTCTGTGTCCACATCTGAATACTTGATCAGCACACTATTAAAAGTACTCTAAATCCCTCTCCCTGAAGGGCTATTTCAATATAGCAGAGGGGGCATGGGTAACGTGGTTCAGTGGTCAGAGCATCAACCTGCACACTGATGACCTGTCATGGGCACCTACCTGGGTTGCAGGTTCAATCCCCTGCCTGGCTCAGGGCACATGCAGAAGGCAACCCAATCAATACATCTTTCTCATTGATGTTTCCCTCCTTCCTCCCTTTCGTTCTCTAAAAATCAATGGGAAAAAATGTTCTTGGGTGAGAATTTTAAAAATCTATATAGTAAGGGGAACTTCTCACCCCAAAGTGACATGTGGCTTGCAGGCCAAGCAAAGACTATATAGGGAGGTATTACAGCATTAAGGCCCCCACAGTACTGATATGTTGATCATGATTGTAATAACCTGAAGCAATATTGCCTCAACAATTGGCTCCTTTAGAGATCCTGTACCCTTCGGACTTTTATGGGGGGGGGGCTTTATTTTAATCTAGAAATCAAAATTTCTGCATTGTTGAGAGCAGGTTGTATTTTTCTCTTAAGCACTAACCCCTTGCCCTAGAAAGTATGTTAGGATGACAATAATTTTTTAGTTCAGAGAGTGAGAAACAAGGATGAGAATCATTGATCGGGTGCCTCCTGCACGCCCTCCACTGGGGACCGAGCCCACATCTTTAGCATGTGCCCTTGACCAGGATTGAACCCATTACCCTTCAGTCTGGGCTGACGCTCTTACCTATTGAGCCAAACCAGCCAGGGCTAACACCAGCATTTAATGAAATTTGTGTTTATCTTTCTGACTTGAGCTAGCACAGACCTACTTGACACCTGCACTTTGATGTCAGCAGGTTCATCTGATGTCATCAAACCTTGGTTCAACCTGTAACCCACCATCATTCTGGTCCCTTTTTTAGTATCTTAATTCTCAATGCTGCTGCTGCTGTACCCAGTGAAACCCTAGTAATCAATGATTATTTTATTGATTCTTTTACAGAGGAAGAGAGAGTGATAGAGAGTTAGAAACATTGATGAGAGTCATCGATCAGCTGCCTCTTGCACACCCCCTACTGGGGATATGCCTGCAACCAAGGTACATGCCCTTGACTGGAATTGAACCCGGGACCCTTCAGTCCCCAAGCCGACGCTCTATCCATTGAGCCGAACTGGTTTCGGCTCTGATTATTTTAAAACATTGGGTTTTGTTTTTGTTTTTTTTAAATCACTTCCCATCTCAAAATCCTTACTAAAGACTGAAAATGTAACTGGTCCCTTTTTTTTTTTTAAGTGTAATTTTATTGATTTTGTACAAAAAGGAAGGGAGAGAGATAGTTAGAAACATCGATCAGAGTCATCAATCAGCTGCCTCTTGCACACCCCCTACTGAGGATATGTCGGAAACCAAGGTACATGCCCTTGACCGGAATCGAACCCGGGACCTTTCAGTCCCCAAGCCAACGCTCTGTCCATTGAGCCAAACCGGTTTTGGCACTGGTTCCTTTTCTATAGTGCCTACCATCTGGTCTTAATATATGAACACTTCAGATATCCACATGACTTCTTCCAGGTCTTTGACTAGTGGGATCTCAGATCACAATTTTAAAAATGTGAATAGATTTTTAGGGGGAGAGGGATAGAGACAAATACTGATGATACCCCTAGCTGCTTTGGCTCAGTGGATAGAGCGTCGGTCAGCCCTGCAGACTGAAGGGTTCTGGATTTAATTCATGTCAATGGCACACACCTTGGTTGCAGACACCTCCCTGGCCCGGACCCTAGTTGGCATGTGCGGAAAGCAGACAATAGATGTGTTTCTGTCACATCGGTATTTGTTTCCCTCTCCTTTATTTTATTTTTTTTTAATAAATCTTTATTGTTCAGATTATTACAAATGTGATCCTCTTCCCCCCCTCAATTGCTCCCCTTCACCAGGTTCCCACCCCACCCTCTGTCCTTTCCCCATCCCCCATTGTCCCCCTCATCCATAGGTGCACAGTTTTTGTTCAGTCTCTTCCCGCACCCCCACTCCCCTTTTCCCTGAGAATCGTCAGTCCACTCCCCTTCCATACCTCTGATTCTATTATATTCACCAGTTAATATTGTTCATCAGATTTTTAAATTCCCTTGGTTTTTAGATTCACTTGTTGATAGCTACGTATTTGTTGATCATAATCTTTATCTTCCTCTTCCTAAATAACCTCCTTCAGCAATTCATATAATTCTGGTTTGGTGGTGATGAACTCTTTAGCTTTTTTTTATTTGTGAAGCTCTTTATCTGTCCTTTGATTCTGAGTGATAGCTTTGCTGGGTAGATTATTTTTGGCTGTAGGTTCTTGTTATTCATCACCTTGAATATTTCTTGCCATTCCCGTCTGGCATGCATGGTTTCTGTTGAGAAATCAGCTGACAATCTTATTGGTGCTCCTTTATAGGTCACTACCTGCTTTGCTCTTGCGGCTTTTAATATTCTCTCTTTGTCTTTTGCTCTTGGAATTTTAATTATGATATGTCTTGGTGTGGTCCTCCTTAGATTCCTTTTGTTTGGGGTTCTGCGGGCTTCCTGGACTTGTAAGTCTATTTCTTTCCCCAGGTGGGGGAAGTTTTCTGTCACTATTTCTTCTAGTACTCTTTCGGTATCTTGCTCTCTCTCTTCTGGAATCCCCATAATTCTGATGTTGGTTCGCTTGAAATTGTCCCAGAGCTTTCTTACACTATCTTCAACTTTCTGGATTCTCTTATCTTCTCCCTTCTGCAGAGGAGTGTCCTCTGGCTCTTTGTGTTCTAAATCTTCGTCTTGATTCTTGCGATCTTCCAGTCTCTTTTTAGGACTTTGTATAATATTTTTTATTTCAGACAATGTTTTCTTCATTTCTTGTTGATCCTTTTTCATATCCTCATAGGTCTCATTTATTTTATTGGCCTTTTTTAGGATATTGTTGAATAACCTTATAACTGTAGTTTTGAACTCAATGTCCAATCTTTTCTTTTCCTCCATCTCCTTCCTTTGTGTCCTTCTTCTTGTCTGCATTTTAGTTGTTTCCCTGATTTGATGGAATAGCTTTGTGTGCTATGTGTTCTGGTAGAGCCCAGTAGCACAGCCTTCCCAGTTACCTGCAGTGGACAGTCTTGGTGTAGCCCTTTGTGGGCTGTGTGTGCAGTCTTGTTGTTAAGCCTTGCTTATTGTTGGTATCACTGGGAAGCGTTGATCTCCAAGCCAATTGGCTGTGAGGATCAGCAGTGTCTCAGCTAGGAGGGTTTCCGTACTCTGCTTGAATAGGGCGGGGTCTCGGGTTGGCGCAGACAATCTTTGGTTCCCTGTCAGTCTCGCCTTAGAAAAGTCCTGTTCGTGGAGAGTTTTGGAAGATTGGTTGCAGGCGCGCGCGCACCTCTTTGGTAAAGGCGCAGACAAGCTTTGGATTCCTGCAAGTCCCTCCTTAGAGAAAGCCAGCCTCTGGGAGAGCTTCTGTGCTCAGCCACAGGTAGGGCGGAGTCTTGGGTTGGTGTAGACAAACTGTGTTTTCCCTTCGGCTCCTCCCCAAGTCCCGCAGTAATGGCCTCTGGCTTCACACACCTCCAAGAGATCTCTGCCCACTGCCTGACTCTGCCCACTGCCTGACAATCTGGCCTCTCCCTGTGTGGGGCCGTTTATCAGAGCAATAGGGTGATTCTGTTTTCCTCTCGGACAAGAAAGCCAGCCGCGTTAGCTGTTCGCCCTCTCCGCGCCAGGAGTAAGCCAGTAGCGAACTCAGCCGGCCCACCCTCTCTGCGTGCAGGGAGTAAGCCAGCAGCAATCTCGGTCCGGCCCTTCCTCTCCGCACCAGGATTAAGCCAGTGCCTTTTCGCGCACACAGTTCTCCGTACCTTCCCAGTTCCTGAGGTTCAGCGTGCCTTCTCTCTCCTTCCCAGATGGCAGAGCCTCCTCTCAGCCAGCCGTCTGGCGCTTCAGGGCAATGCCTCCCCTGTTTTTCAGTTCTAAATTCAAATTTGTTGTGGTAGGCTGCATTCGGGTGTCTACCCTATGCTGCCATCTTGGTTTCTCCTCCCTCTCCTACTTTAAAAATCAATGGAAAACCAACTCAATCCCCAGTAGGGAGCATGCAGGAGGCAGCCAATCAGTGATTCATTATTGATGTTTCTCTGAAATCAATTTAAAAAATACCTTTTAGCCGAAACTGGTTTGGCTCAATGGATAGAGCATCGGCTTGGGGACTGAAAGGTTCGATTCCGGTCAAGGGCATGTACCTTGGTTGCGGGCATATCCCCAGTAGGGGGTGTGCAAGAGGCAGCTGATCGATGACTCTCATCGATGTTTCTAACTCTCCCTCTCTGTACAAAATCAATAAAATATTTTTAAAAACAAACCACCTTTTAAAAAATAGTAGGGGGTGTGCAAGAGGCACCTCATCGATGTTTCTAACTCTATCCCTCTCCCTCGTAAAAAAATCAAAATATATTTAAAAAGAAATAGAAGTATGTATTTCTCCATTTAAAAAAAATTGTTGAGCCGAAACCGGTTTGGCTCAGTGGTAGAGTGTCGGTCTGCGGACTGAAAGGTCTCGGGTTCGATTCCGGTCAAGGGCACATACCTTGGTTGCGGGCACATCCCCGGTAGGGGCTGTGCAAGAGGAAGCTGGTCGATATTTCTCATCGATGTTTCAAGCTCTCTCTCTCTCTGTAAAAAATCAATAAAATATATTTAATAAATAAATAAAATGAAAAAAATTGTTGAGAGAGAATCATTGATTGGCTGCCTCCTGCATGCATCATCCCCACTGGATATTGAAGAAAAAAAGAAAAGAAAAAGGAAATATGCACTCCTATGTCCATAGCAGCACAATCTACAATAGCCAGAATTTGGAAATAGCCTAGGTGCCCGTCAGCAGATGATTGGATCCAAAAACCATGGTACATCTACACAATGGAATACTATGCTGCCATAAAAAAAAAAAAGGAATTCTCATCATTTGCAGCAACCTGGATGGAATTGGAGAACATCATGCTGATTGAAATAAGCCAATCAATGAAAGAGAAACACCACATGACCTCACTCATTTATGGATAATAAAGAACATTATAAACTGATGAACCAAAAGATAGATATAGAGACAGTAAAGCAACAAGCAGATTGTCAAATTATAGCGGGGAGGGGAGGAGGATCTGGGGGAGATAATAGATCAACCAAAGGACTTGTATACATGCATATAAGTACAACCAATGGACATAAAACTCTGGGGAGGGAGGGGATGTGTGGGAGGGAGGGAGGGGGGCAAAAATAAAATAAGTAAAAATAAATGATTTTTAAAATATATAAAATAAAAAGAACTGGTGTTGCCTCGGAAGTGGGGGTAGTCTTATACAGCGAATATAGGCCTAAACCTATGTTTTAACTGTAAAATTAGGGGGTCGTCTTATACGCCGGAAAATACGGTAATTACAGATGGAACCCGCCATTCCCTGGAGCGTTATCTCAATTTGTTGAGATTCTGCTTCCCGGCATATGTCTACAGTTTGGCTCAAATAAACAAATTTTTTACAGGCAAAAAATAAATAAATAAAATAAAAATAAAAAATAGGGGGTGTGCACTATATTGTCCTGATAAGCTCTGTAAGAGTGATGAAGGAAAGTTAAAATTCAAATCTGGGACAACCAGCCTTATGCATCCTCAGGTACTCCCTGTGCGTCCTTTGCTGTTGTGGCAATATGGTGAGACCTACCAAAATCTTAAATCCACATTATAGTAGCATTGTATTTTATTATGTTTCATAAAGAAAAGATTACTGCACTTTTTTTTAGCAGTGTAGCTATCCATTTTTTTTTTTTATTTAAAGAAAAATCCAGTTTGATTCATGCAGAATAGTCAGGGCATATAAAACAAATAATAATTCACCAGCCCCAGAATTATTATGTTTCACTTATAAAGATTTTTCTTGAGATTTTTATTCATATATGCCAATGAAATGATGCAATTCTATGTAATTCCTATTCTCGCGTGGTTGTATTTTAATAATAAAGTAATACAATAAGCAAAAAAAAAAAAAATAGGGCGTGTGCAAGAGGCAGCTCATCAGTTTCTAACTATATCCCTCTCCCTCGTAAAAAAATCAAAATATATTTAAAAAAAAATAGAAGTATGTATTTCTCCATTTAAAAAAAATTGTTGAGAGAGAATCATTGATTGGCTGCCTCCTGCATGCATCATCCCCACTGGGTATTGAGCCTGATACCTGGGCATGTGCCATGAAAGGGGATTGAACCAGCAATTTGGTTCCTAAATTGATGCTCAACAGTTGAGTCACATGGGCTAGGCTGGTCACAATTTGAAATTGTAGTTCCTCTACGGCCATACCACCCTGAACGCGCCCGATCTCGTCTGAAATTGTAGTTCCTTTCACACTGTCCTTTGCCCCTGTTTTTTTCATCCCTTTATTTCGCATAAACTTTATTTTTATTTTTTTCTGTCCTCAAAATACAACTCAAGGAACAGATACTTGTTTCCTGCTGTGTCTCCGGTATCTGAGAAAGTGCATGGCCATGCACCACACACTCATGTGCTAAGTTAATGAGTTCCTGAAGACCTGATTCAGTTTCAAGTTGTATGAAAGTACAAATACCGCCGAAGCCGGTTTGGCTCAGTGGTAGAACGTCAGTCTGCGGATTGAAGGGTCCCAGGTTCGATTCCGGTCAAGGGCATGTACATTGGTTGGGGGCACATCCCTGGTGGGGGGTGTGCAAGAGGCAGCTGGTCGGTGTTTCTCATTGACGTTTCTAGCTATTATATCTCCCTCCTCTCCATGAAATATCAATAAAATATATTTAAAAAAAAAAAAAAAAAAAAAAGCCAGGACCAGTTTGGCTCAGTGGATGGAGCGTCGGCCTGCGGACTGAAAGGTCCCGGGTTCGATTCCGGGCAAGGGCAGGTACCTTAGTTGTGGGCACATCCCCAGTGGGGAGTGTGCAAGAGGCAGCTGATTGATGATTCTCTCTCATCGATGTTTCTAACTCTCTATCCCTCTCTCTTCCTCTCCTTGAAAAATCAATAAAATATATATATTTTTAAAAAGTACAAATACCTATCTTATGAGCCAAATGAGTGCAAAATCCAATTGACTGATCAACTTGGCTAACTTGCAGACCCGAAAGATGAGCCCCCAAAACAAAGACAAAAACCCAAACCTCAAATCTTACCATTGGCTCTGGGGAGACCTAGCCTTCACCTTCCTACCAAGTGAGGATCTTCATGCACCACCTTAACAGCTAATGGTTACTGAGATTGGCACCTTGCACTTTGCCTTTCTTTTTTGGGGTGGTGAGGGAGTGGGGTGGCTTCCAGTAAAAACGAAGACAGACAAATTCAAAACACTATAAGCACTCTGCCTTTTCTAATTTGAGCTGCAAATCCTCTCATCCTTCAATAGGACCGGTAGGTTCTAAGGAGTCTCCACTGCCTTCACAGATGACTGTTCTTGCCTTAGAGCAGTGTTTCCCAAAGTGTGGAACGCGTACCCCCAGGGGTACGGGAAGACTTTGGTGGGGATATGCACTGCACCGTGCTTAGCTGCGCCTAATTCTACGTTCTCATGAGTACGAGGGGTACTCAGCGTTACGAAAATTATAGAAAGGGTACACATATGTCAAAAGTTTGGGAAACACTGCCTTAGAGCAAGGCTACCTCCCCTGAAAACCCAGCAAAAAATGTACCTGCCTTAGTGAATGGCTATGGAGAGGTGCTGTTGTCCACATTACAGACTCTGTCACTGTGAGGCTTTGAAATGTTCACTATCCCACAGTCATGGAGCAGGAAAAGAGCAAAACCAGCTTTATGATTGAGTCCGTAGACTAGGGGTGTCGAACTCAATCAGAGAAGGGGCCAAAATCTAAAATCCAGCCTAAATCGCGGGCCGAATGGTTTACTGAACAGTCATAAACTGTCATTGTGATGGAAACGCAGCGGAGTGCAGTGATGACAGCGCGGTGCGGGCCACATTGCAAGGCCTGGCGGGACGGATTTGGCCCACGGGCCTTGTGTTTGACACATGTGCCGTAGACTAATGCCACCGGCTGCACTAAACCTCTGCCTGTGAACTGCTTCACCTTGGTTCTGGCATTGGCCTCATTGGGCATTATGATCAGCTTTTGGTATTCACCAATTTACTTACTGGAGTCTGAGCCTAGAAGACAGGAGCCTTAGAGGAGCTCAGTTTACAATGACTCCAACCTGGTTCTCTCAACCAGGAACTGAGTGCTCCCAGCACAGCAGCACCGTGGGGACAGACAACTTTGATCCCTTAACATTTTTTAAAATATATTTACTGATTTCAGAGCAGATGGGAGAGAGAGAGAAACATCAATGATGAGAGAATCATTGATCAGCTGCCTCCCACACTGGAGATTTAGCCTGCCCCCAGCTGAAATCGAACCTGAGACCCTTCAGTCCGCAGGCCGACGCTCTGTCCACTGAGCCAAACTGGCTAGGACTCATCCCTTAAATTTATCCATTCTCCACATTTGTTCGGTGGGAGTGGAAAAAGGCTTGGCTGGAAGTGTGGGCTGGGGGGTGTATGTATGACTGTCTTCACATCGGAGTCTAATCAGCCTCCAGCACAATACCCAAAGCCTTTATCTCACCACACAGCATGCCAATCCCATTTTAAACGACTGGAACTGCACAAGTGATATATTCTCATTATAAACCAAAAAACATTACAGATAAAGTAAAAATGCCCAACACACACATTTTGATCCATCTTCAGAGTGAGGTTATCAGGATAGGGTATATTCTAAACATCTCTTGTATGACTCAAATTGTGATCCTTGAGCTCCATTCCAGATGTGATGAAACATTGGGAGTGGTTCCTAGACTTTTTAATGAGCCCTTCAGTCAGCTGATGCTCCCTCAGGACTGAGAACTGGCCTGGCCCCCATTGCCCAGGAAGTTCACTGCACCTGGGCCGCAGCTGTGCCTCTATGCCCCGTCCATGTGTCCTTCCAGCTTTGCCTCCCCAGAGAATCCATCCCACCTCCCATCAAAGTGGACACACTCCCAAGCCTTAGCTCATCCTTCTCTCCATCTTCCTCTTTCAAGGCGGTCCCTACATGCTCCTGCTCCTAGCACACGGGAAGAGAGGGGAGAGAAGGGACGGGTGGGGGTGGGCGGTTGGCGCCTGGGGCTCCGGCTGCCTCTGCTCAGGGCTCCTGGGCCTGGTCCTCTGGACCTGCCTCCTCCTCCATGCAGTCCGCCTCCTCCATGCAGTCCGCCTCCTCAATGCAGTCCTCGGGGTCTCGGCCCTCCTCGGCCCTGGGGCGCAGCAGGTGAGGGGTCCGGGGAGGTCCTCGGGTCCAGCCGAAGTTCCGGAGACTGACGGCAGGGGAGGGTGCTCCGGCCCCCAGGACGCGGCTGAGCAGCGGGGTCTGGGCGGCTGGCGCACGCCGAGCCAATGCGGGGGTCGCCTCCACCTGCAGACTCTGCTCGGGGTCGTCACTCATGCTGCGGGCGAGAGGACAAGAGGACCGCATGAGCAACCTTCACCGCCGGCCCACGGGGTGGACATGCTTTCCAGAAGAGGGCGGGAAGGACCAGACGGTGGGGTGGGACGGGGACCTGGGCCCTCCTGCTGGGGCCACTCACCGCAGGTTGAAAGTTGAGCCCAGAAAGGAAGGCTTCAGAGACTCGGCCACCGTGGCCACTGTGTAGGGCGGCTGCACCGAGCCTTCGTCCCAGTACAGGTCCTTCTCCGCCGGAGGCAGGTTCTGGTACATGTCATCCACGGACAGCAGGGACACCTGGAGTGGGCAGCGAGGCACACAGGTCCTCCCGTCCTGCACAGCAGGGCGCTGCCCCCGGACTGCGACTCACCTGCAAGTTGCGGTCGATGAGCTGGTTGGTTTCAAAGTCATCGTCGTCCTCACCAAAGGGGTTGATGATCTGTTCGGCCACCTGCAGGTTGTAAGACGGCGTTTCTGCTCCATTCTCTGTCCCCCAGAGCTGGGGTGGGCCCCGGGTTCGTGTCTCTACAGAACACGCTGGCATGACCACCGGAGTGCCCACCTTGAGCCAGCCGGCGTAGAAGAAGAACTGCAGCAGAGTGGTGAGGGGCACATACATGTCCAGGTCCCCCAGCGCTGGCCCCGGCTCCTGGCCTGGCTCCAGAGGCTCCCGGGGTTTGGCAGCCCCTGCCTCTGGCTCCACAAACTGGCGGCCGACCAGGGAGAGGGCGAAGAAGGAGTACACTGCTATGGTCACCACCTGGGGAAGGGGAAGCCTGGCTGAAGGGACAGGAGGAATGTTGTCCCCGTCCCTAAGGGCCTGCAGAGGGGGAGGAGAGTGGGGGTGGTCGGACGAGTCATGAAAACATGTAGCACGGCATGGCAGCACCAGAGAGCATGGGGTCATCTCATTGGGTGTCCAGGGAGGAGGAGCCCTCCGCTGTTCAATGGGACAGTCCTGATTTTTAACCATTTGTCCCGCGTCCCATGGCGTTTTAAAAAGGTCCCAATATTCTTTCCAAAAATCGGGACTTTTTAAAAACTCCGCAGGATGCGGGTCAAATTGTTAAAAATTGGGACGTCTGGTCACCTTACACTAGACTGAACTGACCCAGGGCAGGTTCCAGATCTAATTCTTTCAGCGCCTCACACGCAGCACAGGACAAAGGGACTGGGGAGGGAGAGGCCGTTACTTGGGTGTAGACGAGAGGGATGCTGATCCAGTCGTAGTGAAACAGCAGGCTGCACTTGGCTCGGTACTTGTTCAGCTCCTGGTGGAAGAGCAGGAGGAGGAAGTCAGCGATGACGGGGAATGCAGAATGTGGAGCGAAGAGGGGAGCCCGACACACACACAGGGCCTGGGGCCTGGGGGCTCCTTCTGCTCTCAGAGACGTTTCCAGGCTCCGTGTCCGTGACGGGAAGCAGAGCCTGAGGCCAGATTGCCCGAGTGTGAGTCCCAGCCTGCCTAATCAGTTGTGTGACTCCGGCAAATCTCTTTTCCACTCTCTGCCTCAGTTTCCACATCTGTGAAAGGGGGTGGTAATAATAGTACCTATCTCAAGGATGGCGAGGGTCATTGAAACCAGTTTGGCTCAGTGGATAGAGTGTCGGTCTGCGGACTGAAAGGTCCCAGGTTCGATTCCGGTCAAGGGCATGTACCTTGGTTGCGGGCACATCCCCGGTAGGGGGTGTGCAGGAGGCAGTTGTTTGATGTTTCTAACTCTCTATCCCTCTCTCTCCCTCTCTGTAAAAAAATCAATAAAATATACTTAAAAAACAAACAAACAACAAAAAAAAAACAGCTGAAACCGGTCTGGCTCAGTGGATAGAGCATCGGCCTGCGGACTCAAGGGTCCCAGGTTCGATTCCGGTCAAGGGCATGTGCCTTGGTTGCGGGCATATCCCTGGTAGGGGGTGTGCAAGAGGCGGCTGATCAATGATTCTCTCTCATCGATGTTTCTAACTTTCTATCCCTCTCTCTTCCTCTCTGTAAAAAAAAATCAATAAAAAATATTTTAAAAAAATAATAAAATAAAACAACAACAACAACAAAAAAGGATTGTGAGGGTTAAACGAGTTAATATCAGTACAGTGCTTCCAACAATGTGCAGTCCCTGGCTGGCATGATGTAAGTGTCAAACACTAAAATTGTTATTCCACTTTGCGAAGCGAGGGGAAGGAGGGCAGCCGGGCTGACGCACCTCCAGGAGCAGGCAGAGAGCGATGTCGTCGCGGACTCGCCCGTCCCTGCGGGCCCTGGCCGCCAGGTTGGTGAACCAGACACAGGGGACCCAGTACTTGTTGAAGTCAGACTTTAGGCTCTCAAACTTCTTCCTTTCCTCCTGGGACATGAAACCTGCAGAGAGAAAGGGGGTGGAGCCCAGACCCTGCCTCTACCTGCCAGGACCCGGGAGCTTCCCCCGGGGCCAGGCCTCCCTCCCAGGGGCCCCGAGGCACCTGCGTCCACCACGTGGTCCATGGTGGGGAAGCGCTTCAGCACGCGGGTGCTGACCGAGCGCAGCACCAGCACGGACGCCAGGTTGGCGTAGCGGACCAGCGTGCGGCGCAGCAGGCGGCCCTGCTGGTCCAGGCCGTGCACGCTGGCCGAGATGACGCACATCAGCTGGTCTGGCAGCGGGATGCTGGTGTACTGGGCCCACCAGCGGTTCACCACCAAGGTCACGTAGAAACCTGGTTGCCACCGAGGGTAGCAGGGATGGGATGAGATGGGAAGATGAAAGGCCTGGAGGTCCGTGGGTCCCGCCCCTCAGCCAGAGTGCCCGGTCCAGAGCCGGGTGAACCAGGGCAGAGGGAAGGACACGTTTGGCTCCGGTGCCCTGCCTCGCTGTCAGGAGGACAGCCTCTTCCTCTGGCCCCCGCCTGATGGACCAGACCTCGCTGGCAGGAAGGAGGGCCACCCTCCTCAGGCGGAGGAGCGGTGGCTCAGGGCCAGGTGGTTCGTGAGCCCTGCCTCCCCTGAGGGTGGGAGTGGGTGTCATCTCTCTCCAGCTCCCCTCCAGTACCCAGAGGCTGGTGATGCCAGCCAGCAGGTAGCTTGGGCCTGGTTTGGAGTGAGGGTCTATCCAGCAAGTGATAGGCAGGGCCTCGCCCCCTGGAAGTCCCGGCCCCAGCACGCAGCTCCCATGAACCTCTGAGCCTGCTCTGGTGGATCTCCAGGCTGGACTCCTTGGGGTGACTCTGCCCCTCAGAGCTGTCAACCCCACCCAAAGGTCGGGGGAGATGGTGAGGATGCCAGGGAGAGCTGGAGGATAGCCTTACCCAGGACAAAGGACAAGGGGATGAGGTCTGCGGAGCGGTTGCAGTATCGGGCCACCTGCGCATACACGAGCCTCTGCTCCTGGGTCAGCAGCAGCCTGGAAGGCCCGGTGCAGGATGGGTAAGAGGGAGGGAGGTGGCAGCCGAGTCCCCCACGCTCCAGCCCCGAGCCCTCGCCCTCGCACCGGTAGGTGATGCTGAGCAGAGCGTACAGGACCACGAAGAGCAGGAACTCCTTGTAGAGGAGCTTGTAGATGCTTCCCCTCCACCGGAGAAGCAGCCCAGAGAAGCCTCCGAAGCGGGCCTCCGCCACTTTGAGGGTGTACGAGACCGTCATGGCGCCAGCGGCCTAGGGGAGGGGGTCACAGAGCTGCCCCCAGGGCTGTCCCTTTTCCCCGGCGAGCCTTCTCCTCAGCTCGCCTTCTCATCGCCGAGCTGAGTTCCTCAGGCAGCCTCCCTTCAGCGGGGTGTGCGTGTGTGTGTGTGTGTGTGTGTGTGTGTCATACACACCCCAGCCTTCACCTGTGTCCGCAGGCCAGGTGGGAGGAAGCTGCCAAGGACAAAGCGCACCCATCCCCGCCCTCAGGAACTCAGCGGGGAGGGACAAGGGGGAGCTGGGAAGGAGGCTGTCTCCTGCCTGAGGCTTCCCTAGGCTCCTCTTGCACTTGCAGGCCTAGGAGTCCTCAGACCTCGAACCGCTGAAGACAGGAGATTCAACTCTAGCCCAGACCCACCACGATCCCTGGGGGCCTCGCTCTCCAAGCCGGTCTCCTGAGGCCCAGGGCATCCTCACCCCCACTCCATCCCTGCCTACCTGCTCCGGGCAGCAGCCAGTGTTGAGGAAGGAGAACTGGGCCGGCGTTCACCTCACACACACTTAAGTACCTGCTGGGCCCATTAAGTTGGACTGGACCGAGGTTATCATTGATGGATTGAGGCTGCCACCCACTTCCTCTGGCCCTGGGAACTGGGCACATCTCCTACCACTGCAGGGCTGGGCTGGCCTCTGAATGACAGAAGTGCCATCAGCATTGACCCCACAGCTCACACGGATGACACCATGTCCTCGAAGTCAGGATGATAGGGATTTCTGTCCCATGCTGGTCCAGGTGAGAAAATAGATGCATGGGCCAAAACCGGTTTGGCTCAGTGGCTAGAGCGTCAGCCTGCGGACTGAAAGGTCCCAGGTTCGATTCCGGTCAAGGGCATGTACTCTGGTTGCGGGCACATCCCCAGTAGGGGGTGTGCAGGAGGCAGCTGACCGATGTTTCTCTCTCATCCATGTTTCTAACTCTCTATCCCTCTGTCTTCCTCTCTGTAAAAGATACATAAAATATATTTATAAAAAAGAAAAGAAAATAGATGCATGATCCATTGTTACAATGATGACAGCTGCTGTCTCCAGAGCACTAGTGCCCAGGCACCACCACCTCACCCATTGGTAGAATCCTCGTGGCCACCCCAGGAGGGAGGGATCATCCCCATCTCACAGACGAAGTTCCAAGGAGTAAATCAAGATCACACAGCTGGGATGTGTCGCAGGCAGGATTCAAAGCTGGAGTTGATGGACTTCAAAAGCTGGAGTTGGCCCATCTGGGCCTAAACAGGGCTGGCACCCTGAAGCCAGGGTCCTGTCACCAGCCACACTGCCAAGCTTCTAGCCCGACCCTTCCCCATTCCCATTCCACAGGGCTGATGAGGCCATAGACCTGGGCCTCGGCTGAGATGCAGCCCCTTCCAGCCGTGCCCAGCATCCTGACTCCTAGGCTGCCTGGGATCTGGAGGGGCATTTCCACTCCTGGGCTTCAATTTCTTTGTCGTTCAAACAGAGGAAATAACCGAAACCAGTTTGGCTCAGTGGATAAATCATCGGCCTGCGGACTGAAAGGTCCCAGGTTCAATTCCGGTCAAGGGCATGTACCTTGGTTTCAGGCACATCCCCAGTAGGGGGTGTGCAAGACACAGCTGATCGATGATTCTCTCTCATCGATGTTTCTAACTCTCTATCCCTCTCTCTTCCTCTCTGGGGCCGGGATTAATACCTAGGAGTCTGAGGACTCCTAGGCCTGCAAGTGCAAAAAAATAAAATATTTTTTAAAAAAACACACAGAGGAATTAATACCGGAGGCACCAGGTCAATTGTCCACCCAGCACCAAGGTCACCCACAGAAACCCAGAAGAGATGGTCCCGCTCTGGCCTGTATTGGGGAGCGCCTTCCCCCACACGAGCTGGTTCCCACGCACCAGTGTTTCCTGAAGAGGAAGCTTGGGTGTCAGACAAACCTGGGTTTTCATTCTAGCTCTCTGTAACCTGGTACAGGTTATCTCCCTTATCTCTGCATCTGTTTCCTCTTCTGCAAAACGGGGTCAATAACACCTTCCTCACAGGGCAGCTGAGAGTATCAAAGAAACAGTGCCCGGACAGAGCCCGGAGCACTGCAGGCGTTTAGCCCCGGCTGCTGTTCCCATGAAAAGCCAAATCTGTGCCCGTTGGTTCCTACCTGCTGGTCCACTGTTGCATCCCAGACTAGGCAATCCTTCAAAGATGAAGAGACAGAACTTGCCCCTGATGCCTCACTAGCCTGTCTCCAAAGACAGACAATGCCAGGGCTGCCTTCTAAGCTGGACACACAAGGCCCTCTGAGATGCCCCGTCTCATCTTTACCAGCCTCTGCCCAGCTCCCTTTCACTGTTCCTTCACCATCCAGCTCAGAACATCCTCCGGGAAGCCTGCCATGATTTCCCCCCAGGTCACGCCTCAAAACCCTCTAGGATTCCTCTCTGCTGTTGCAGCAGGTAATCATACTGTCTGCGGTCTCCACTCTGGCCTGTGAGATCCGTGAGGACAGGATTGGATCTGATTCATCTTGGTAAAGCTGGAGAGGATTTGAATCCAGGCAGCTTTCCCTTTCTCTTTTCTTTTTCTTTTTTGTCCCTTTTAACATGAAAGACATCTGATCCACCTCCCTCCTTTTCATAAACAATTTCTCAGATGAGCAAGGTCTAGAGACCTACTCATAGCCGGACAAGTTATGTTCCCCCCTAGGGCCCAGGTGCGATGTCAATATGAGGACAGGATTGGTGTGTGTCCATCTCAGAGGACAAGGTGCCAGCTCGGGGCCTCTGGCCATCATGGCCAGCCAGCCCTTTTCCAGCTTTGACCTGTGGCTTTCCTAGAGCATTCTGGGCTGCTTAGCACTGACAGAGTTTCTTGTACCTGGGACGCCAGGCTCCAGGCTGGAGGAGCTCATTCTGAGGTCCTGGGGGCCTCTTTCTGACGGCAGACCTTGAGGGCAACCCCACTGGTTGCATTTCCGTCCTCCACCCCATCCCCCTCTGTGGCCCTCTCGCTTCTGCCTGTTTCTCACTCTGGATGGCTGAGCTGTGAATTTCCCACAGAGCCGTCACTGGAGTACGGGGCCTGAAGCCTCACCAGAGGAAGGGGTTGGTGGTCCCCAGGCCCCATCCAACCCCTCCCTCCTGAGTTTGCTTATCTCCCTTCCCAGCTGCTGACAGGTCCCTCTGGTTTATGGTCCAGGAGAGGGAACCACTCCAGCCGTAAATCATCTGGCCCACCCTTTTTTATCATCCTCCAGCTCCTGCCCCTCCTCTTGCCTGGCTCCCTCTCTCTGGCCCTAACCACCAGTGACCCTCTCCCCCCCTCACAGAGAGCTGGATTTATGGCTTGGACTTACAGCATGTAGTCTGGAGCCAGACTCCACCATGAGCTACCTTTGTGACCATGGGCAAGCCATTTAACCTCTGTGTGCCTAATTTCCCTATGGGGAGATGGGAATGATAATACATGCCTACCTCACAGAGCTGTTATGAATACCAAATGAATTAATACTTACTTACAAAGTGCTCAGAATAGCAAAACAATTGGTAACTATGAAATGCCTTCAAAGACCACCTGAGGTGTTTTCTTTTTTTAAATATATTTTTATTGATTTCAGAGAGGAAGGGTGAGGGAGCGAGAGAGAAACATCTATGATGAGAGAGAATCATTGATCAGCTGCCTCCTGCACGTCTAACACAGGATGGAGTCCGCAACTCAGGTATGTGCTCTTGGCTGGGATTGAACCGTGACCTCCTGGTTCATAGGTCAATGCTCAACTACTGAGCCACACCGACTGGGCCTGAGGTTTCTTTAAAGCTGAATCCAATAGTCCCTCCTGAGTTCCAGCCTTACTTGGCATCTCTCAGTCTTGCAAGGCTCCCTTATCCTCTGTGACCTGACACTGTGAAGAGATTTTTTTTTTTAATTTTTAATTTAATTTTTAATTTTAATTTTTAATATTTTTAATTGATTTTTTACAGATAGGAAGAGAGAGGGATAGAGACTTAGAAACATCGATGAGAGAGAATCATCGATCAGCTGCCTCTTGCACACCCCCTACTGGGGATGTGCCCGCAACCCAGGTACATGCCCTTGACCGGAATCGAACCCGGGACCTTTCAGTCTGCAGGCAGACGCTCTATCCACTGAGCCAAACCGGGTTTCGGCTGAAGAGGTTTTTTATTTTTTATTTTTAAATATGGAACACTTTAGCCCTAGCTGGCTTGGCTCAGTGGATAGAGCATTGGCCTGCAGACTGAACATCCCGGGTTCAATTCCTATCAAGGGCACATATAGACCTGTACCTGTATCTGGAGCCAGGATCTTTAAGAAGATATTTAAGTAAGTTAAAAGGAAGCCTTGCCGAAGCTGGTTTGGCTCAGTAGATAGAGCGTCGGCCTGCGGACTGGAAGGTCCCGGGTTTGATTCCGGTCAAGGGCATGTACCTGGGTTGTGAGCACATACCCAGTGGGGGGGGGTGCAGGAGGCAGCTGATCCATGTCTCTTTCTCATCGACGTTTCTAGCTCTCTGTCCCTCTCTCTTCCTCTCTGTGAAAAATCAATAAAATATATTAAAAAAAAATGCCGAGTATAGCTTAGTGGTTTAGTGCTGACCTATGAACCAGGAAGTCAGAATTTGATTCCTGGTCAGGGCACATGCTTCAGGAGGGGCCATGCAAGAGACAGCCAATCAATGATTCTCTCTCATCATTGATGTTTCTAGCTCTCCCTCTCTCTCCTCTCTGAAATCAATAAAAATATATTTTTTTATTTTTTTATTTTTTTAAAATATATTTTATTGATTTTTTACAGATAGGAAGAGAGAGAGGGATAGATAGTTAGAAACATCGATGAGAGAGAAACATCAATCAGCTGCCTCTTGTACACCCGCAATTGGGGATGTGCCCGCAACCAAGGTACATGCCCTTGACCAGAATTGAACCTGGAACCCTTCAGTCCACAGGCCGACGCTCTATCCACTGAGCCAAACCGGTTTTAGCTGATTCTTTTTAAAAAATTCTCATCCTGAGGACATATTTCCATTGAATTTTATTGTTAAACTTATTTTTGTTAATCCTCACCTGAGAATATTTTTCCATTGATTTTTAGAGAGAGTAGAGGGAGGGAGAGAGATACAGAGAGAGGAACACTGATGTAAGACAGACACATCAATTGAGATTGGTTGCCTCTGGTACGCGCCCCCACCAAGGCCAGGGATTGAGACTGCAAGCAAGGTACGTGCCCGTGACCGGAATCAAACCCGGGCCCCGTCAGTCCACAGGCCAATGCTCTATCCACTGAGCCAAACCCGTTTCAGCTCCATTGAATTTTAGAAAGAGAGAGAAACATCAATTTGTTGCCTCCTGTATGCACCTAGATTGGGGATTGAACCCAGTACCTAGGTGCTGGAGGCTAATTCCAGCAAGTCATAAATGCAAAAAGTTCATCAAAAGGCTGATTAACCTTTGGGGCTTCAGCAGGACTGAAAATTTGCATGTTATTACCTGCTGCTGGAACAGCTGAAGACAGTTCCCCCAACCTGATAATCTACTGTTTACTGAGCCTTACCTTTCATATGTATATCTGCTTTGCTATTGGCCAAAATCTTATATAATAAAGAGGTAATATGCAAATTGACTGTCAGGCCCTCGCACAAGATGGCCACCCCCATGGGTCACAAGATGGTAGGCAGGTGAGGGCAGTTAGGGTGACGAGGCTGGGGGGGGAATTGGGGGAACCAGGCCTGCAGGGGAGGGTAGTTGGGGGGGGAATGGGCCAGCAGGGGAGTCAGTCAGGCTGGCAGGGGAGTGGTTAGGGGGTGAGCAGGCAGGCAGGCAAGCAGTTGGGAGCCAGCAGTCCTGGATTGTGAGAGGGATGTTTGACTCCGTGTGGGATTGGGCTTAAACTGGCAGTCAGATATCCCTTGAGGGTTCCCAGATTAGAGAGGGTGCAGGCTGAGCTGAGCGACCCCCCCTCCTCCAGTGCACAAAATCTGTGCACTGGTCCTCTAGTGTGTTAATAAAAAGCTAGGGTTTCAGCCTTGGCTGGTTTTGCTCAGTGGATAGAGGATTGGCCTGTGGATTGAAGGCTCTTAAGTTCGATTCTGGTCAAGGGCACATGCCTAGGTTGTGGGCTCAATCCCTAGTAGGGGGCGTGCAGAAGGCAACCAATCAATGATTCTCATTGTTGATGTTTCTATCTCTCTTTCCTTCTCCCTTCCTCTCTAAAATAGCTTTTTAGGGGGGAAAAATTGAACCCTGGACCCTTCAGTCTGCAGGCTGATGCTCTATTCACAGAGCCAATCCAGCTAAGGTATTGGTTGGTTGATACTTGTAAGTACCCTGACAGGGGATAGAAACCGAAACCTTGGCTTAGGGGGAGGGTATTCTAACCAACTGAGCTACCTGCTTAGGGTTCATTGACTTGGGTCTTTACCAGAAGAGACATAAAGAAAAAGACTACGTGAAGTCAGAGGGAGAAGACTGCATCTGCAGTGCTACCGTGTTTCCCCGAAAATAAGACATCCTCCGAAAATAAGACCTAGCGCATGGAAACATAAGATATCCCCTGAAAATAAGACCTAGCGCAACTTTGGGAGAAAAAATTAATATAAGACACTATCTTATTTTCGGGGAAACAGGGTGGAAGAAATACCTTGGTCTGGGACTTCCAGCCTCCAGAACGGTAAGAAAATAAATTTCTGTTGTTTAAGCCACTAGTCTCTGGTATTTTGATATGTCAACCCTAGAAAACTAATATAAATACATTTTGCTTTATTTTCCAAAATAAAATTGCAATAACAAATAAAGCTGTTTCAAACTATGCATGCCTCAGCCCCATTTCCCCTGTGGATTTGTCCCTTCTAGGCTCAGCACTACCATTTCCCCAGTGGAAAATTGTTGGCCTGTAGGACAAAGATCAGCCTTCTGAGTCTGGCAATGAAAGCCTTCCTGCCAAACTCTATCTCTACTCCACCTCCTTTGAGCTACTAGTGTTTCTCCTCCGTATCTCAGGCTATTTTGGTCCTCCCTTCAGTGGCTGTGAAGGGCAAGTTAGAAAAATAGGCTGTTAGGGCCTGAATTTGGTGGGATAGCTATGTGGAAGGAAGATAAAATGGAGATGAGACTAATGGCAGGGAGACCAATAAGGTCCAATAGCAATAATCCCAACCAGAGAGACTGTGACCCAGATTAGGGTGTGGGGGGTAAGATGAGTGAAGTGGGTAGATTTCAGAGATATCTGAGAGGTAAAATTGACCTGTATTGAGTACTCAAAAAATATTTTTAAAAATATTTTTGATTTCAGAGAGAGGGAGAGAGAGAAACATCAGTGATGAGAATCATTGATTGGCTGTCTCCTACACACCCCCTACTGGAAATAGAGCCCACAATCCAGGAATGTGCCCTGCTTGACTGGGAATGGAACCCTGACCTCCTGGTTTTTTGTTTTTGTTTAATATATTTTATTGATTTTTTACAGAGAGAAAGAGAGAGGGATAGAGAGATAGAAACATCGATGAGAGAGAATCATCGACCAGCTGCCTCCTGCACACCCCTTACTGGGGATGTGCCCGCAACCAAGGTACATGCCCTTGACCAGAATCGAACCCAGGACCCTTCAGTCCGCAGCCTGACGCTCTATCCGCTGAGCCAAACCGGTTTCGGCTGACCTCCTGGTTTATAAGTCAACACTTAACCACTGAGCAATGCTGGCCGGACTAAAAATATATTTGTTGACGTTCTTGTTCGTTCTCTCTCTCTCTCTCTCTCTCTCTCTCTCTCTCTCTCTCTCTCTCTTTCTTCTCCTTCTCCTTCTCCTTCTCCTTCTCCTTCTTCTTCTTCTTCTTCTTCTTCTTCTTCTTCTTCTTCTTCTTCTTCTTCTTCTTCTTCTTCTTCTTCTTCTTTTTTAAGTGAATTGAGCTTTGGCCTGCAGATTGAAAGGCCCTAGGATCGGATCAATTCCTTCCTTTCAAGGGTACATACCTCTGTTGTAGGCTTGATTTCCCAGCCCTGATCGGGATGTGTGCAGGAAGCAACTAATTGATGTGTCTCTCTAACACTGATGTGTCTCTCCCCTTTCCTTCCACTCTCTGGAAAAAAGCAATGGAAAAATAACCTCGGATGAAGATTTTACAAATAAATAAATAAAAGGACTATTTTTTTTTAATTTATTGATTTTAGAGAGTGAGGAAGAGAAAGAGAAACATCAATGTAAGAGTGATGTGCCCTGATCAGGAATTGAACCTGTGACCTTCGAGTACACAAGAAAACACTTCAACCAATTGAGCCATACCAGCCAAGGCCTGACTATTCTTTCTAAAGCAGGCTCTTTGGTTACTCTTCTGTTTACTTCCTTTACAGCACTTTTCACAGCCTGTAATTACCTTACTTATGTATTTGCCTGTTGTATGTTTCCATCAAGCAGATTGTAAATTAAAGGAGGACAGTATCCTTGACCAGCTTTATTCAGACAATGCTGGGCACTTAGCAGGTGCTCTCAACAAATCTTTGAGAACTGAATGGAATAATAATTGATTGGTCCTACAGAGTGAGGGCAGAAAGGTGAGGAGGACAAGGCCAGGAGGAGACCTATGACAAACACTCCAGAGGGGTTCAGACCCCATCTCTCTCTGCTGCTGGCCCTGGGAAGGGTCGGCATGTACCAGGGCTCGAGGGGCCCCCATGGCCCCCGGACCACCTGCCCAATTGTCCATGGCTAGGTTTGAGAAAATTCCCATTCTTCCCTTTCTGGCCTCTGGCTGCTGACTCAGGGCAGTGGGGGTTTCCGGAAAAGGGAAGAGAGGACCCCACTGGAACCCTAGATCTGCCCCTCGTGTGGAAGTGGTAAAAGCCTTAAATGCCAGATCTGTTTGACCCCAAAACTCAGTGTGACAGCCCCACTCTACCCTCCTCTTGCGCAAGCCAGGCTGGGTTCGGGAGTCTGCAATTCCGCCCAGGCCCGGAAGGGGTCAGCACTGGGCTGGACCTGGGGGCTCTGGCCAGGGCCGGAGGCATTTAAAGGGGAACGTGGAAGACGCTACGGGGAGAAAACCAGCG